AATGGTGTACAAGTGGGGGGGGGGGGAATGCAACATTAGTATTATTTTAGCCCAAAGCCTATTTGCCTTAAGACGTTATACAAACAGAACAGTGACCCATTACATTGTGTTGCAATATGAAAAATCTTTATTTAAACACACAAAATAAATATTTGTTAAAATGTATTTTAAAATAATTTAAATACTATAGCATCTTTTTCAAACTTAAGACTCTAGATAATGTGAGCACCACCTAGTGATAAACCAATGGAGCAATAACAAGTTATAGTCACACAGCTCAAATTCAGAACTTTCAGGTAAAAAGATTTTTTTGGAACCATTTTTCTTATACAAAGAAGGGGGAAAAAAGCTTACTGAGCTTCATAACTGAATTTTCATGATTTGGTTTAGATGTAAACCTAAGCAGTTTTTAATAATCATTTATCCCTAATGTTTACAGACTCAGCCGAATCTATAAAAAGAAAGACACAGTTTAAATCTTGTCTTGCTTATTTTGCTATCCAGAAATAATTAAATGATATTAGTATATGGTTCAGTTACTGGTCTCCCTGACCAGTAAGTGAATCATTAAGTGTTGTAAAGTAAATCTAAACATTTATGTTAAATTTAGGCCATGTCAAATCCTGTTCTAACACAGGGAAGGGCATCTTTTAAAATAAATATTTAAGAAACACTGACTTCATTTAGAAAAAAGCCCACAGAAAAGTATTTTGAAGTGGAGTAGTCTTTATCTACCAAGACTACCACTTATTCTTGTACAAAACTATACTTATATGGAGCACACCGACCCCAGCACTGAAAGAAATGCTGATAAGCATTTTTTCAAATGTTTCAGGTTCTACATCTGTAATGAATGTTAAGCAGTTATTTTCCAGTACTTGTACAGATTTCACAAATATCTGAAGCTGCCAAGCAGCCAAAACACATTTGCAGCATATTTAGCATTGGGATGGATCTTGGACTGGACCTGCATTTGAGGCACAGGATTAGGCCTAACACATTTGACACCCCTGTACTATCTGATAACAGGTGCAAGGCAAGTACATTAATAAGATAGCTGGAAGAGTTGGTTAACTAATACTTTCAGTTACAACAGCCGTCGTCAACCCAGGGCATGTAGGCAACATGTTATCCACAGGCTGTTAAGAATGCATGCATAACTAAAATTTGGCTCATCATCTCTTTGTACAAAGGAAACTGGACGTTACCTAGACTACTTCAAGTTTACCTTGCTAATCAGTATTACAAGCTTGCCTCAGAGCCTAAAGCTAAAATGTTGTTCCTTTTAGTGGAAACATGATAAATTACTCGATTATATCTGCTGAAGACAACTACATCAGCAGACTTTCTAATCAGAACACATATTACCTTGATTAGAATTCTAAAAACAGTACAGCTTTGTCCTCAAAATGAATTAGTTCCTTTGTAATAGAGACTAAGAAACCCACTTTCTCCTTGTTGGTATTTAGTAATTCAGTGGTTTCACTTGGTGTACTATACTAGAGTGCTTGCCAAATCTAGACTCTGAAGAACCACTACCTATAGTTAGTGCTAGATAGGTTTGGGATGGAAAAATTACATAGAAAAACCATTGGTTGATTCAAACATTCATGGAAAAGAGTTAAGATTTTACCAATATAATTATTCTGGAAAAATCAGCATCCTACTAGTGTCACCATTATTCTGGCAAATCATTTTTTTTTTTCCAAATAACCTGAACGTCACAATATGAAGAGCTGAAAACTATACATCAGATTACTGTACAGAAAATATATAAAAAATAGGAAATCAATTTGGCTTACTGCATTATTATACAGTTCTATACACAAGAAACACCTGGAATACAAACAGTATAGTTCCGGGGGTGGGGGGGGCACTTGAGGTTTTTCTTGCTTGAGGTCACATCTTTTCTTGGCTGCCAAATCACGAAGGTTTTTTAGAAAGAGGAGCTGTACTGTATCACCCTCTTCTTGTCTCTTACCATTTTATTCCAGTTTCAAAAGCTGATAAGGCTTCCACATGTGAAAAGCCAATTTCCTCTTCTTTATCTTTAGGAAACTGTTTGCACTGTTTCTTGTGTAGCCGAGGTTACAAATCTCAGCATCTGTTAGGATACGATACCCTGGATCTCCAGCATCAACAGGAAGCCATCCACCTATGTTGTCATCACACTATTAGCAACCTGGAATGTTACCTAGCATGTTGACCTCTGCTTTGTTGTCCTCACCATCACCACTGCTACCTGTGTCCGTCACAGCACGTGGCCATAATTTCTTCCAGGCTTGGAACAGTGCGATTCTTGCTACTGATGCCCAAGCATCTGCCATCATGTATGATGCCTCCTTTAGGTCCATTTTTGTAAACATTAAAAATTCCTTCATCATCACTACCAGCAAGAAACAACTGATGCAGAAATTTTCTGTAAAGACACCTGAATGTCTCAATCACCCACTGGGTGATCCTCTGGTTGAAGGATGGATGTGATATTTGGTGGGAGGAAAAGGACCTTGAAATTCTTATTTTCTTTATTCAGAATTTCTTCACACAGATGGAAGGGTACATTACCTAAAATTTGCAAAACAATTCCATGCTTTCCATTTTTCTTCTTATGTTTTGTAACTTCAGGAATGAATGCATTCCTGTACCAGTCCCGAAACACACCACTGTCAACTCAAGCACTTTTCTGGTTTCTGTAGGCTGCTGGAACATTTGCAGGTCTTTTAAAGCATTGGGGACTTTTGGTTTTTTCACATGATATGCACTGGAAGCCTATTGGACCCACTTGAGTTGGCACATATCATAGCTGTGATACAATCTGTGCTTATTTTACATACCAGAGCTGCTTCTTCCTGCTGTGAGGTTAAGGTCTGAGGCAAAGCTTTCCAATTTAAAAACTGATTTTGTCAGCATTGTAAACACTGTCTCCTTCATATCATTTGCTTTCTACGGTAGACAAAAATTTCATTTTGAATGAATGAGCTGCTGGTTCGCCTGCAGGTAATTTTTTCCCTTGTGTTTTCAACTCTTTTTCCATGACGCAACTTGAAATTTTTTAGCCACCCAGTGCTGGCTTTGAAATTTGGATCCCCATTAAATTTTTCATTTAGCTCAAGTGATTTTTTACACTGAAGCCACCCTGATATTGGGTCTCCTAAACTTCTCATCTGCAAAAGCCATGTATGAACTGCATTTTCTAGCTGAGCATTCTCTGCCTTTTTCATGGATTTCCTTATT